TATTTGCATTTTGCTTAGCCCTAAAGCCAAGGTGGCAAAATGTCGCCCTCCAGATGTCAGCTGGACTACAACTCCTATCATATCTGGCTATTGGCCTTGCTGGCTGAGGCTGATGGGAGTTGGAGTTCAACAGCATCTGGTGGGCTACAGCATCTAAAGTTTACTGGAGAGACTGCCTTCTTGAATTACTAGATCTCTGTGTTCAAAATATGGGATTTGATTCTTTCATTTCCCCTCTTGTTCGCAAGCAGAAGTAACACCTGCCTCTCGTCAGTCATACTTGTATGGGGTGTTCCAGTTATAGCAGCTTGCTGTGTACACCAAGCAGCATTCTCCTGGGGTGAGGAATGATAGAAAATGTTTTGTTGTTGCCAGAATTTACTTGTACATGTTGCATCTGTACCTGGCACATCCTGTGACCAAAGGTACACACTGATCAGAAAACTTACTTTTAAATCTTCACATGGCATGTCAGTCTTTACCCCAGAGATTCCGGGGGCAGGGGGCAGAATATTACTGAACATATCATGAATTAAAATAAGCACACATGACCTGGAAGTTAATCTGTTGTGCATTTTTCTTTGCTAGATTTTCAATACATTGGTTTAAGGGACGCGGGTGGCGCTGTAGGTAAAACCTCAGTGCCTAGGACTTGCCGATCGTATGGTCGGCAGTTCGAATCCCTGCGGCGGGGTGAGCTCCCGTCTTTCGGTCCCAGCTCCTGCCCACCTAGCAGTTCGAAAGCACCCCTAAGTGCGAGTAGATAAATAGGTACCGCTTTATAGCGGGAAGGTAAACGGCGTTTCCGTGTGCTGCGCTGGTGCTGGCTCGCCAGAGCAGCTTCGTCACGCTGGCCACGTGACCCAGAAGTGTCTCCGGACAGCGCTGGCCCCCGGCCTCTTAAGTGAGATGGGCGCACAACCCTAGAGTCGGACACGACTGGCCCGTACGGGCAGGGGTACCTTTTAATACATTGGTTAAACTTTGTTCACTTCAGCCAGCAGGGGGTGTCAGGAAGAAGTATTGGCCCTAAAATACTATTTCAAAATAGACAAAAGCTCTGGTTTCTGCAGTTGAGTTTGCTTGTGTTCTGCTTTCATGAACTGCTTTCATGAAAAAGCTTTTTCACATCTGCAATTCAGACTTGCAGATAGTTGCTAACGGTGAGAAATATTTCCTTTTAGATAAGTAGCTTATCTAATCAGTACCACCTTGTAAAATGCAGGTGGTTGTGAATTGGGTACAACTTAAAAGGTATCTCTTACTGTGCACTGAGAATGAGGTGCTGTTGCAAGTGTTTGCAAGTTGGGTTTGTAGACATCCGTGATGTCTGCAAAACTGTCTTCACGAGTGTTTATGGGAAGTGCTTGGTGAAGTTGTCAATAAGTGCCCTTTAACTTGTAAATGCCATTATGTTGCTTTGAAGGAGTGGGAGAAGGGGGAACATGATTGAGGGAACTTCCAGATTTATATACAGATAAGCATTCCAGAGTTTTTCTGCATCTTCTTACATTTCACAATCTTAGTTTCACCAAGACATCAAAGCATAGATTTGTTGCTATTGGGTTGCTGTTATTGTTGTTGTTATTTGGCTCTTGTCTTACAGAGGACCTGCAGCTAAAACTGAGTGAATTCCTACCCCGCCTGCTAGATTGTTCCTCCGAGGGCATAGTTCTGAAAGAACCACCCAAGATCCGCCCCAATTCTCCCTACGATCTCTGCAGCCGATTTGCAGCTGTCATGGAATCTATTCACGGGGCCTCGACTGTCACTGTCAAATAAAAACTGCCGACTGTACTGCATTAAGCTCTGGAGACCACAGGCCCACCAGCGTGTGGAATCCAGCTGCCGACCACCTTTTGGAATGGAGCAAGGAAGAGAGATGCTACGTTGAGACAATCCACATTCAGACCTAACCAAAACTGTGCTTAGAAAAGGGCTAAATGGGACATGACACCCTCTGGTGTGCACCATATATGGGCAGGCACTAAATTAGAACGTGTCTTGAGGTTTCACTGTTTTACGTTGCCTATAACTGCGTTTGCCTTGGCTTCCTACAAGAACACGGTAGGAAGACACTTATTTTTTTAAACAGAAATTTTAAACACAGCATATTGTACATATATACTTCTGTTGTGCTCAATTCTTATGGAGTATACAGTGGTTTGATATGCTCATTGTGAGCATTCCATGCACGCTCTGTTGTATTTTGAATGCACTTGCCACACATGCTGGTCTATTCATGTGTCACAATGCCAGCAGTATGTTATCAGTGCTGATAGCTGTTGTGCTGTCATTGCATATGACTGGGCCAACACAAGGGAGTGCATTTAAAGCACAATGGGGAGCATGTAACCTGAAGCCTGTTTAAACTGGACCTCAATTACATCAAAGCAGGACTGATTCAGGGAATAAGCCAGACAGTCGTAGGTAATTTTAAGAGCAATAATTCACATTCACCTTTTTCGTGGAAAAACACCTTAAAATGGGAGCCTATCAGTTGAGGCCCTTTCCATCAGATATCTCCTGATGTGGCGGTAACAGAAGAACCTGGTAGCCTGGGTTGTAAAAAATACAGGCATTCGTGCACACTGCGTTTGTGTATGCTATCAACTCAAAACACAGTTGACGCCATCAGGAGAAATGGTGATGGTGGCAATATTTTACAGTTGCTACAGAATTGCAAAAGTCATTCCAGGACAAGAATAGAGATGCAAAACAAAACCCCTAAGGAAACTGCTTTTCTGACCTCCCAAAGCATATCTCCTTTATTACCAATCACTGAATTTTCATTATCAGGCTAGTATTGGCAGTGACAAGGGCTCTGAAGTCAGGAATAATAAACCTTTATAAAAAGATACTGCTTAACTGGCAAAGTCTCCTGCCAATATTTTTAAGCAATCTTTGTTTTACTGGAATACATTGGCAATCGGGATGTAAATGGAAATACATATTTGAGAAGCCTTTTTCTGTTTTAATTAAATGTGCAATAAAGAATTTTACCCTATTTAAATTTGTAGTGGATTGCTTTGTTTCTTTTGAGTTTTATAAGTCTCTCTAGACCAGGGGTCAGCAAACTTTTTCAGCAGGGGGCTGAAAAACACACAGATTCCCAGACCGTCCACGGGCCAGATTTAGAAGGCGATTGGGCCAGATCCAGGCCCCGGGCCTTAGTTTGCCTACCCATGGTCTAGACTTTATCTTTCTCCTTTTCTCAACTGTGTTTGAACACTGGGAGTGTTTGCTATTGGATAATTTTTGCAAAGGTCACCACTGGATTAGCCATATAACATGACTTAGTCTGCATCCTACTTGCTTTGGTGCTAAGAATAGATTAATTGCTCCACTACTTCCAGTTGTGGTGTGCCTCATTATTTAGCCTGTGATGCTGATCCTTGGTCAATCTAAAACATTGAATGGTTAGTTTGGGGTGGACTGCTGTGCACATACGCTGGGCCCCTATGATTACATAGGTGTAAGGTTCCTGGAAAAGACCCTGATGTTGGGAAAGATTGAGGGCAGAAGGAGAAGGGGACGACAGAAGACGAGATGGTTGGACAGTGTTCTGAAGCTACCAGCATGAGTTTGACCAAACTGCGGGAGGCAGTGGAAGACAGGAGTGCCTGGTGTGCTCTGGTCCATGGGGTCACGAAGAGTCAGACACAACTAAACAACTAAACAACAACAAGGCTCCTGGGGGAAAAGTTGCTTGCCTTTACTTTTGACATTTTAGATTTGGGTGTTGCCAGGACTAAACAGGAGCCTAAGATGAGATACTGATATTTTAACTTTGCCATGGGCCTCTTAACCATCCAAGTATTTATGCTGTTTTTGCTCTGATTAACTTGTACAATTCAGAAAAGAGACTTATAAAACTCTTTCCCCCTCCCTGCCCCCAAATGAGAGCATCTATGTTATCAACAGAATCAGGCTTGCAAGTAATCCAGGCCTACCTAACCTTTCATTGAAAGGAGTTATATGTTGTTGATGAATGCAACTTGAAGGAGCTTCTGCCAAAGTTTCAATCTAGAATTACTTTCTTGAAGTTCAAAACTACTGTCATGTCTAATGTACTCATCTCATCTGATACCTGATTCAGTGCACAGGTAGGTTGAACGGTAAAGAGATCATCTTCATTCAACATCTACCATATGGATCCTAGGTTGCAAGCCTTTACCTACTTGCAGTGGAGTAAGACCCATTGAGTTTGAGGTGGGGTGGGCTTCTAAGCAGACCAGAATAAGATTGCACCGTTAGTAGGTGAAGTCAGTAGCAGAGACACCACAAATAATGAAACTGTAATTCGCAAGGTCTTTTTCTCTATGCTTCATGCTTCTATTTGAGAAGTGTCCATTTAGCTATTTCCCCCGAAACCCTATTACTGTGTTGTCTCAAAAGACAGAGATTTCTGATCCATGTGAAAAGCAAACAAACGGTTCATTATTTTTTTACAGTGCAATTAAGTACTCCTTAAAAGGTTTGACAATGCCTGTTGAATAAAACTTGATACCTTGCTATTGACATTGGATATCATAACTACAGCCAGTCTCCTTGACAAAAATTCTTTCCAGTGAAGGGGTATGTCATTAAACGGCCACTTTCCTGATTGTTTAGACTGAGGAAAAATTAGTCTTGCACAGAAAAGAACTGGGATTCTAATCCTGTATCCATTCCCCCGTCCCCATCTTAATATATTAATAATACTCTAGTGAATTTTGAAGAAAAACAATTTATTTCTATGCATTCATGTTTAAGTTTCCCACATTGCAGTCATTGAGATGGGTATCCCTGTTGCCACTGAAAATGTCGCACAGCATGGAATGACACATGTAAGTACAGAATGTTTGCTTTCCCAAGCATATTTTTCAAAAAAAGTGCTCCATAAAGGATGCTTGGAAGGATCCTAGACAATAACCCAGTTTCCAGCCAGTCAGATATAAGCCATTCTGACCATCTTAAATGGTTCTCATGAAACCTGTAAAGAGACTTTAGCAGGCAGCTCAAATTACAAGGTCTGCATTTTTAGGTGGCAAGTACTGATGATGACTTTGTAACCTGGGATCCTTTCGCATTTCTGGCTTACGGTGGACAGCGAACTGCTTGGACTTTGTTTGGGTTTGTAGGAAACAAGCTGAGCAGATCAGAAGAAACCCACCTAGTATGAGGAAAAACCCAGCAAACCAGCCCAGGAATAATGCTTCGCCGAATTCCCACCTTGGGACAATCTCTGGCACAGTTTTATCCCAGAATTCTCGCACTACGTTGTAGGCAACCCAGGAGACGGGCGCAAGGGTTGCCATTCCGGAAATGCAGAAGAGAATTCCTCCGGCGATTCCGAGGCGTTTTTTCAGTCCCAGGTTTTGTTCCCTTATCTTCAGACAGTTCAACCCCAAAATAGAAATACAGAGGGCAAGGAATCCCAGTCCATTAGAGAGAACCATTACAATCCTAGAGATTCTGAACTCCAAAGGGAGGGTTAAGAGGGAGCCATAGCTTTTGCACTCCATTATGTTTTCATCTTGAATGACGCAGGCATGCCAAAGCCCTGTGTTCCAGGTCTCCAATTCGTTCAATTCCAAGTTGAGGTTCTTCCAAAAAGGTATGGAAGTTGTAACACAAGAGGAGACCCAGCCGAAGAACGAGATAATTAATCCTCCCAATTGGCCTATAGTACTGTAGTGCCAAGCCATATTTGGACTCTCGACCAGCATACAAAACTCTCTGCCTTTGAATGTTCTCTATTCCAGATGAGCTTGATTCTTGCGGCAGAAGTTTTGATAGAGCTACGGTGTCATCAATATGCTGTAGGTTTCAATGGAGCCCATCTGAATTGGTGCTAGTTTTTTAAAAGAGCAGTGGAGGAGGAGCTGAAGAGAATACCACTCATTCCAAGGTGTGGCCAAGCTTTTCACATCTAGTTGGTTTTGCCTTTATCTGGAGGGGAAAAATTACAAATCCTAATTCAACTTAATTCATGTGCGAGGCAAAAATGTCAATGTTAATTGAATTGATGCAATCGACCAAGTCCCTTTCAGCATGCGAACGGGCACAGATGAGGCTGATGGAGCAACTTCTTCAAACAGATTCACCGAAATGTGGCACAAAGATAACTGTAGGTTTTGCAGTTTGAAATCCCACTATGCAGGTGTTCATTTCTACAGACCCTTTTGTGCAGAAACACTTTGTGCAGTACCGCCTCTGCAGAATTACCATATTACTGGCAGAGCATGTTGATCTTTTCACCAATTAGCCGGGGGTTTTTAACTCATATTTTGCTCGTTTCTTCAAGTTAGATGGGACAGATGGTCTCTGTTACGCCAAATGCTCCATTGTCCAGAAGCTCTGGATAGGGAATAAGGGAGATGACTGTAGAAGGAAGGGGAAAACATGGATGGGAAATGCATTGATCTGGATAATGGGGGAGGAAGAAAGAAACAAACCAGTGTCTCTCTGTCCCGTGAGAAGTTCCAAACCATAGCTGGCAACAGTAGAAGATCAACATCTACCAACGAGCCCTTGGGCTGAGGAAATGTGTCTTTAAAATGAGCTTTGAAAAGTTCTCTTGAGTGGTGCTTCAGCTTCTTTTCCCCATTGCAGAGGGTGGAGTATTCGTCATTTCTCAGATTTCCCCCCCAAAACCTGGCCACTCTCCAGATACTGAGTAAATACACAAAGCTCAGAGAAAACAACTGTGTATAGATTGTGATTCTACTTAAGGATCCAAGAGACCACTCAGGGGTCAGAGGTGACGGGCCCAGTTTGCTCAAGGAGCAGCTTCCGAAGGTTGCCTGCTGGATAACTTTTGCAATCGGTGTAATGCACATGCCGCCTGTCTTTTCAAGTAGCTTCTCGGGACCTGTGCACTAGTTAATAAATGGAAAGGTTGTTGGAAACAGTCCGTTCAAGGTGGGAGCAATCAACTGCAACCTTCCCTGCTTCTGTGTGGGACTGTGTACGCACACAGTGAACTCCTTTTAAGTTTATAAACTGCTAACTTTTTTTTTTTAATGAGGAGGGAACTAAATATAGAATAATCTTGTTTCCTGGGTTGCAATATCGGTTCTTCTGCATGCTATTAGCCAAATGCTGACAAAACCGCAATCCAATAATCAGTCAACTCATCTCCTAAACCAGCCTTCCACAGCCAGGTCCTCTACATGTCTTGGACTGCATGGGGTGCTGGCTGGGGTTGATGGGAGCTTTTCCTTAATATAGACAGAGCCCTCCAAGGTTAGGGAAGGCTACCCTAAGCAAGCACATTCCAGCCTCCAAACGTCTTTGGGGTGCATTCAGCCACCCTATATGATTTCCCCATCTGTTTCTCCACGTGTGGATTTGTCTAGCATTGAGATTTATCATGTTTATTTGTCCTGTCTCTTCTTACTCGTCTGCCTACTTTATTGTATTGTCGAGTAAAGTACAAGCAGTCAGTGCTGATAAATTTCCACATCTTCCAAAAGCTTCACTTTGGCCTGGACTTAGCACTGAAACGTGGGCTGTGTCTTCAGAGCTCAGCCCTAAGATGTGTATGTACGTAATAAGAACAGGGAACCTCTAAACATGTAGGAACATCCTTCTTTGTGAAGCAAGGGGGGTGGATTTGATGATCCTCCTGGTTCTTTTCCAACACTATAATTCTTTGATTCTAGGATGAAGTTACCTACTGACTCTGAGGCTGAGGTCTTCCTATAAATCTGCTTTTTACAAATCAAACTCTTGCATTTTTTTATTATGATGTTTTAATTTGTCGGAAGCTGCCCAGAGTGGCTGGGGGAACCCAGTAAGATGGGTGGCATATAAACAAATTGTTGTTGTTGTTGTTGTTGTTGTTGTTATTTCAGGTGACAGCCTTGCCTTTCCCCACTCGTGTTGTAGTTGCTGCAGAAGTGTTAGTTATTTTAAGCAAAGTATACAGCTGGAGTGATCAGCTAGCAATTCCAGTGAAATCTACCAAAGAGCTCCTCTCCCATGGCAACATATGCACACTCTCGTGAATTTAGAAGTGGTGCTCAAGAAATTCACAGGAACAAAAATTTTGTTTTACTGAACTGAGACCTAAAGATGCAATAGACTGCAAAGTCTGTTTTAAAACATCCAGATAGGATTCCTTGCGATTGTGCTGTGCTGCCTGGGGCTGATTAGAGTGGTAGTCCAAACAGCTGGAGACCAGTAGGTGCAGAAGGCTAACTTAAAAGAACACTGCTTCATCAGCTTTATGCCAAGATGCATCTTCAAAGGGGACATACCGTTCCAGTTTTAAAACAAGATAAAATTCATTTTGCTTAAAGCAAGCATTGCAAAGTATGCCAAACACCAAAAGAATAACAGGGTAGGCACTTAGCAGATCATTTTGGACTCACAGCGGTCCATGGAGACACAGGTCACTTCTGTGTCCAGGGCAGCTGTCTACTAGCTCCATCTGGTACGCAGGCTGAGACCCTACCTGCCCACAGACTGTCTTGCCAGAGTGGTGCATGCTCTAGTTATCTCTCACTTGGACTACTGCAAATGCACTCTATGTGAGGCTAACTTTGAAGGTGACCCAGAAACTACAACTAATCCAGAATGTGGCCGCTAGACTGATGATTGGGAGCGGCCACCAAGAACACATAACACGGTCTTGAAAGACCTACATTGGCTCCCAGTACATTTCTGAGTACAATTCAAAGTGTTGGTGTTGACCTTTAAAACCCTAAACGGCCTCCAGTATACCTGAAGGAGCATCTCCACCCCCATCATTCTGCCCGGACACTGAGGTCCAGTGCCGAGGGCCTTCTGGAGGTTCCCTGGCTGCGAGAAGCCAAGTTACAGGGAACCAGGTCGAGGGCCTTCTTGATAGTGGCGCCCACCCTGTGGAACACCCTCCCATCAGATATCAAGGAAACAATCGACTATCTGACTTTTAGAAGACAGCTGAAGGTAGCCTTGTTTAGGGAAGCTTTTAATGTTTGACACACTATTGTATTTTAATATTTTGTTGGAAGCCTCCCAGAATGGCTGGGGAAACCCAGCCAGATGGGTGAGGTATAAATAAATTATTATTATTATTATTATTATTATTATTATTATTATTATTAGGACCACATCAGCGAGGCTGGGGTGGGTGTGTCTTTTCATCTAGATAGCACAGGATCTCCATACACACTGCTTAACTTCACACCCAGAGATGCACTCCATTGTCTCTTGAGAATAAAAGTAGCAAAGTTTGTTCCCAGACTCTGGAACTCCCTCCCTAGAGAAGTTCAATTGGCTTCCTCCTTGTTGTCCTTCTGATGGCAGATGAAGACTTCCTTGTCCCAACAGACTTTGTGGAACTGACTGCTTTTAATGAAAGGGTTTGGTGCCATACTGTTTTTATTGTAATGTTTTAATTGTTTCTGTGTGTTTCATCCCCCCTTTTTTGTTACCAAAAACATCTACTCAAAAGTTACAATACATCTTTATCCACTGCCACCATTGTATTAAATTATTGATTTTTAAAAATCTTTTGGCTGTTCTTATTTGTATCTTTAAGCCACTTTGACTCCCTGTTGGGGGAAAGACAGGGTACAGTGGTACCTCGCGTTAAGTACTTAATTCGTTCCGGAGGTCCGTTCTTAACCTGAATATGTTCTTAACCTGAAGCACCACTTTAGCTAATGGGGCCGCACCGCCGCTTCTGCACCGCCGCTGCACGATTTCTATTCTCATCCTGAAGCAATGTTCTTAAACCGAGGTAATATTTCTGGGTTAGGGTATGTAACCTGAAGCGTATGTAACTCGAGGTACCACTGTATAAATAAATATAGAATAATGTTAAGAATGATGCTCTAATGTCAGAAGAGGAGAGTAACATAATGCAAGACCTCAAAGGGAAATATTTGTACAGGAATGAACACCTTAGGACTTTTAGATCCTGAATAGCACTCAGAAACATACTGAATGGGATACACAACAGCGAAAATGTTTTAAGCACCAGTGATCTATTTATTGTCAGCATGGTGGGTCTTGGTTTGAGGGTCTCCACAACCCTCTCCTTGCATCAATACATGTGCCATGCATGCAGATTAGGAAAAGAGGGAGACTGCATTTATCCCTGAAACCACAAGTGCAAATTGCAGTTGAAGCAGATGCCTCTAGACATCGTTTACCTGAACTCTGGCAGTAAGCAACTAAGTGATTAAAACCTTCCATATGTATTAATAATCCTCGAGCCGTTTACAACACTGGCTAAGTAGTTATTTATAACCAACAGGTTAACCACTGCTATTTTTAACCCGCCCCCCTCCCTGTGTGGCTGGAGACAGGTTTAAATGTAGTCTGCAGATTTTCCTGGCTTTTATCCTCTCCCTGTCTCTGGACTTAGAATATTTCATAGACCACAAAGCGATTTACGATTCACTTGCGGCCTCAGAGCTGGGTTGGGAATTTTTCCGTCCCGGTGCAGTGAAAGGGTGTCCCTTTCAGTCTCTACATAGAAGGCAAGATGGTGTCTTGCAGGAAGAGTTTAGTGTTGTACCATTCTGTGCATCACTGCAGGGCTGTGGTGGTCATAGATGAGGTTCTCAAAAACCTTCTCTAACCACAGAGTTTACACTGGGCAAATGGCACCCTCTTAAAGACTTTTCATGAGGAATGGGATTGTTTTCCGTCTACCAGGCAAGTTTTATTCTGAGGGTGGTAATTGCTGTAGGAATAGGAAGGGCAAAACTTACTGGAAAAATAAGAAATCAA